CTGGGGAGGAGCCCCAAGGCCCCAGCCGCACTTCCTGTCCCCCGGCTGACCTCGCAGAAGCTGTGGGACTCGAAAGGAGAGCAGGCAAGTCCACGACCTCCACGGGCGCTTCAGGCTCTGTGCCTGTGAGCCGGGAGGAACGCCGGGTGTGAGGACAGAGGCAGCGGGAGGAGGGCTCTTGGTCCTGAATCACGACCAGGGGAAGGGAGACGCGTGAAGGAGACCTCCAGCAGACAGTCTAGGAAGGGAGCTCGCTGACACACCACACTGGGTCTGGGGCACGGAGCCCCCATCTCCACACTCCAGCCTCTGTGCGTGGCTGGACTACAATCCGGCTGCCACCCAGGCCGGGTCACACGCGTGGCTTTCCAGCCCCCACCCCAGAACGTGTGTCGGAGCCAGGGCATGCGCGGCCTACCCCAGAGTCGGCTGCCCCTCCACCACTGACCCTGTCCCTCCTCCAGCCTCAGGGCCTTTGTATTAACTGGTTCCCTGGCAAGAGGGTCAGGCCTATGGATGTCTTTGACACACCTTTCTCTCTCTGGAGATGCGCTCCTGCCTCCTTCCAGAACATCCCCTACACACCGGCTCTGGGAGGCCCCATTCTGTGTGCTGCTCGTGGATGCATCCCAGGGCCTACAACAGCAGCAGGCACTCAGGAAGTGCTTGCTGTGATCACGAGAACCCCGGGAGGCGTCTCACTGACAGAAGACGATCCAGCCCCGCCTGCGCGCCCAGGTCTGGGGCAGTGGCAGGCGCTGCTTGGTGCTGGGTGACCTAGCTCAGCACCCTAGCCCTCTTCAGCAAGTACTACAGGAAAGGACCGGGATTCCCCAAGCCTGCCTGGCTGGGTGTCCACATCGCTCAGCTGCCGTGATCGCCCTGCCTCCCATCACCATCTGGAGGACGCTCTTCCCCCCTTACAGACGAGGAAACTGAGGCCCAGACACATGTCAACAGGTAGTGCTGCCCCCCCGGGCCTCAATGTCCAAGCCCACTGTGGCCCCCATTCCTTTCGCAGTCAGTTCGACTCCTCCTGTGGCATGCTGGGCGCTGTGCAACCTGCCGGGCCACCAGCACAGCCTGTTTCCACGTTCCCAGCAGAGCTCTTCCCTACCACCCACGATGTGCCAGCCACCAGCTCTCCCATGGCCTGGTGCCATGCTTCTCCCCAGAGGGCGACAACTACTGAGGGAGAGGTGGAGGAAGTGAGGAGTGGAGCTGAGACAGTGCCTGGCTTCACCCACTAGCCACCAAGTGTTCCTGCCAGTACTTACCCACCCCCACCTCCCAACCCATCCGTCCATCCATCCACCCATCCACCTACCAACCCATCCGTCCATCCATCCATCCACCCACACACTCACCCAGCCATCCCCTCAACCATCTACTCAAACACCTATCCTACACCTCTGTCCATCCATCCATCCATCCATCCATCCACCCACCCACCCA